GTTACAAAATATAAAGCATAAAGTTTGCAGCGAATCCTTTGGACGCTCACAATATTTTGTAAACACAATTGTTTGTTCCACTCGAAAGAGAAAGCGTTCCTCACTCTAGAAAAAGAGAGAGCGAATACCTTCCACTTATGGATCGTAAATGTCAAATGCAAATTTTGTAAAATACAAAAATGGAAATTAGCGCTAAAGGTTCAGAAATGTAAGTAGGTATTTGTTAATTTTATTAGCTATACAGCCATAAAAGGTAATTACACATAAAATCCTCGTTTAGAACTGGATTTTTGCGTTCCTCGCGCTCTGAGCACTTTTGGCGCGGGTTGACACATTTTTGACGCTTGTGAGAGAGTAACTTATTTTTACGCTCTAATTACCGAAACAGCCCAGAAAGCTTGTTGAACAAACCTGTTAGTGACAGTGCCAAATTGACAGTTTAACAGGGTGGTTCAGATGAATATTTGGGAACAAATTATAGATCGTTTTTTAGCCAAGAGATGCCGCACTAAATTTAAATGGTTGTAAATCAAACAAAGCAAAAATAAGCCAAAACCAAATGCGTTTGATGTAAAATATCCATAACTATCACGATTGAAAGAAGTAGAGATTACAGGAATGACCAAATAACAATTTAACTATTTATGCGTTAATATTTTTGCGTAGTTTTATACAATTATTGAAACATTACGAAGCAAAATGAAGTGTGTAGTGGCAAATTGTAAAAGTGAAAACAAAAGGAAAGCCTGCGATATAAGTTTTTTTTTGTTTCCTACGGACGCAAAACTGGCGAAAAAATGGGAGCAGTTCTGCCGGCGAGGACGTAAATTAAATACCAAATCGAGCTATGTGTGCATGAAGCACTTTGCCAGAGAAGATATTGAAAATAATAGACAGTTCGAATTGGGTAAAATAACTATTGTGTATTTTTATATTAAGTTGCATTTAATATTGCTTTTGCAAATGCCTTAGGTTTTGCCAAAAATCGTCGTTTAAAGCGGGGTGCAGTGCCCACCATTTACGCAGCTAATGAGGTGGATTCCCAGCGTACGGAAAGAGCTCAGCACAGAGAAAACAAAAGAATCGTCAGCGAGTTACTTCAGCAGAGTGAGACTGCCGCTGTCACTGAAAGTAGCAATTTGCATTTATATCAAGTTTTGAATTATACTGTAGCTAAGTTTTTATAGCCGTTGTGAGTGACACTGTTAACGTAGATATTACTGATGAAAGTCTGAAAAGTAAGGAAAATAGCCTTATGGAAGAAAATATTTGCGATATAGCTGAGGTAGATATAACTGATGAAAGTCTGAATAGTAAGGAAAATAGCCTTATGGAAGAAAATGTTTGCGATATTTCTACGACGCGGGAAGTAGAAGAAATGGAACCAAAACTGTAAGTTAATAAAAGTAATACAACACTAAAAATTTTGTTTTATTGAGTTAACATTTTTCTTTTTATTACACACATATAGAGAAGCATTAAAGCGAGAAAATATGAACCTGCGAAAGGAAAACAAAAACCAATCCAAAAAACTGGCGGTACTCCAGCACGAGTACGAAAAGCAAAAGAAAAAACACGCCTACGAGTTAGATCAGATGCAAAAGCGCTTGGAGGAGTGCGAAAAGGTTTGTAAAAATATGGAGAGAAAATTACAAGGAATCTTCACGAAGGGTCAGGTTGCGAAATTTAAGTATGATATTAATAAACCTACCTGGACTCAGGAAGACGTAGCACAATCCATAACATTGTACGCAACTAGTCCCAAAGCGTACAAATTAATGTACATAAAAGGTTTTCCGCTACCTGGAGTTCGAACGCTACAGAAATGGGCACAAAATATCGACCTTTCGAGAGGTTTAATAAAACCAGTTTTTAAATTATTAAAAGCTTCTACACAAATGGACACGATTCAAAAGATATGTGTTTTGAGTTTCGACGAGATGAAAATCAGGCAAAATTACTGCTATTGTACCTCGTCGGACTCACTGCAAGAACCTGGCAACTATGTGCAAGTAGCAATGCTCAGGGGTAAATATATATTATAAAGTAACATTTAATGAAATTGAAATTTACGAAATAAGCATTTAATAAATCTACTTTCTTCATTAGGTCTTATATCTAAATGGAAACAGCCAGTGTTTTACGACTTTGATTTCAAAATGACAAAGGACGTTCTTTTCAATATATTACAAAGTACTAAAGATTGCGGGTACAATGTTGTAGCGGTTGTGTGCGATCTTGGCGGCACAAACGGGTATCTTCTTAATGGGCTGGGAGTGCATGAAGACAAGCCGTGGTAAGTTTACTTAATTTGCGGTTTATTTTACTTTTTGTAACATATTGCACTTTTACAGGTTTGTTTTTGATGAGCAGATAGTTGTCACATTTGCAGACGTTCGCCATATGCTTAAATTACTGCGTAATCATTTCCTTGATCAAGGATTTGTGATAAATGGCAAATCAGTGAAGAAAGAAATAATTTTAGAGTTATTGTCTATCACCTCTAAAGATTTGACAATAGCTCATAAAATTTCAGCAAACCATTTAAATGTATCTGGACTCCAAAGACAAAAAGTGAAAACAGCAGCGAAATTATTTTCACACACAGTAGCGCAGGCAATAACGAGAGCAGCAGGTTTGGGACATTTGAGTGGCCACAATTGGAAAGAGTGCTTCAAATTATTTAAATTGGTGAGATTTACATACAGACGTCTATATAAATACATACTTATATGTAATTATAGTTAAATTTCAAATATTTAAATTTTAGACTAGCGATTGGTTTGATGTGATGAACGTCAGGAAACCACATGCTGGTGAAAGAACACGCTGTCGCGCCTACGGTCTAGCGATTGATGAACAAGTTAAAATATTAGATGGCATGACGGAAATGATGAAAAGTATGAGAGTAATAGGGAAACACAGACTGCTACCATTTCAAAGAGGTAAACTATGTAGTCTTCTTACACGCACGGTTGCCACTTGTTAAAAAAAATAACCAACCAAACTCTGAAGAAAAAACAACTAAGCTGAAAAAAACAACCAAATTTGTTATCCATTTAACTAATACGAAAAACAAAATGTATAATAAAAAACAAAAATTCAACAGTTTTATTGAGCTTGAAGCCGTATTTTTTGTGAAAATTTTGTGGGAAAACCATATTAATTTACATTTTGGTAGAAGTTATAGCTGCTATTTCGGAAAACAAAAATTATTGAAACACTTGTGCGTTCAACCCCTATTTACCTCTTATATGTGCACATAAAACATTCTACATTAAAAATAGGAATTCGAAAAATTCATTTATTCATTTTTGGCATTCAATATACAATAATTCTTTTTGTAAAGAAAAAATTTGCTAATTTCTAATTAAAAAAAAAACACACCAAACCAGAGAAAAAACTACCAAACAACCAAATTGAAACAATAAAAGAAAAACAACCAAGTTTGGCTGGAAACAACCAACAGTGAGTGGCAACCGTGCTTACATGCATACTTGAAGTGTATATAGAGCCACGATAAAATATAGCACGCTAAAATTTTTTTTACTATTATTTTGATTTTTTTAAGGTTCATTAATTTTTTATTTAAGTTTAAACATATATATACTTATATGGTTATCTAACTAAAACCATTAAGTCCAAATTTCAAAGTAGGCAAAAAATGTAAAAAATTGCACAAACTTTTCATCAAAATCTAGTATAATAAAGTGCAATTTTGAAGTTTATAAATTATAAAAATCAATATGATTTTTTAGAAACTTCAAAGTTGTACTCTCTTACACTAAAATTAAATAAGCTATACAACTGCATACCAAAAATTACTCTATTAATTAAAATGTTTGGAATATTAGGACGAAAAGTTTGTGGAATTTTTATAATTTTTGTACAAATCTGAAATTTGGGTTTATGTATATGGTATTTGTTAGATACAGAGCAATACTTTTATATAAAAATAGTGAACATTAAACAAACAAAAGATAAATTGTCAAAACTGTTCAAAATACTGAGGTGCTATCGGTTTGCTGCGAGCTGTACAAATATATAAAGTATACGTATGCCTATTTATTTGCAGGTATCATACAGTCGTCCAATGCGCTGAAAACGTTGTATGAAATCGCTAAAAATCGGTTCAATATGAAGTACATTTTAACGTATCGTTTGAACCAGGTTGCGATCGAAAATTTCTTTGAAGTCATTCGGGCAAAAGGCGGCTTACATGATCATCCGGACCAGCAAGAGTTCAAATATCGCCTTAGAGGATATTTACTTGGACACCATGAAGGCGAGATATCGAATTCGGCAAATGAGGAAGTACATGATACATCAGACTTGGAAATATCGCAGCCACCTCTTACAGGTAACAAAAATTGAGTTTAATCTTTTTAATATAGTAAAAATATTGATTTCTATATCTACAGGTTTCCTTCTGAAAAGATTTGTACCTGAAGAATGGCCGATCGATATAGAGCCGGTAGAGTTCGAACATGTGGAGTTAGATGATCCAGAGAATTTATCTGGTTATATATGCCACCGATTGCGAGACGATATCTCTAGTACATCCTTCAAAGGCGCAGATGGTCCGCCCTACACCTGGGTAAATCACTTAAGTGAAGGTTTATCTGTACCTAGCTGCAGTATGATGGACCATGAAAGTAATCTAGAGTCTGTAGTAAAGTAGAGTCAGTTTAGACTGTATTTTAATAAAAAAAAAATCAAGGAAATACTATGAAAATAAATTGCCAAAATTTCTCAAATTGAACCACTGCTTTTAAATTGAACACAAGTATGCATGTGTACATATTTTCACACAAGGGCCAGTTTTTCAATGCCACTCTTAACTTAGATTAAGTAGACTGAGTTTAAAGTGAACAGCTGGCTGACCTTTGATTGGCTGAGCTTAGCTTAAACCAGCCAGATCGGGCGTTTAAACTGAGTGAAACTACTACATATTTCTATGAAAACAGTGTAAATTGTAGTTAGAACAAAATTAAAGCTAATACATGTGTACATTTACATATATTTCGCTTGTGTATGTACATTTGGACAATAGTTAGTACCTCGTCTGTCATAACAATTGCAATGTCTTTTTCAGTATTTCTTTTTAGTTTAATTTTAACTAAGTTATATGTATTATACATTCATACTCATCTGTGTGCATATATGTATAATTGTAATTATACTTATACTCTAATAAAAGAAACAATCGAATGTTTACATGCTTGCCAAGTACAAACGATGCATCACGTTTAGAGAGGACGCTGTTTTCTATATGGAACTATGTTGGCCTTTACTTGTTGAATTCTAATATATTTCCTTGAGGAATTTAGATAATTGCTGGTTTAGTTTGCTGACGATGACGATACATACAAACACAGTTTCTAAAATAAATGCGTACTTATGTATGTATAACTTCACTACCTACTTTGTTTGTTAATACCTGCTTATTTTTAGTGGTGGTAAGTAGCAGTGCACCAGTGGATAAAATCGCCAGTCGCAAATTTATGCGGCATCTTACCGCGCTGTTACGTACCTAATATAAAACCGTGCGCAAATTATAATACATTTCTCAAAGTTCAGCTTAAATTATGTTTTACTTACATAGAATATTTGTTTCCGAAAAAGCCACACTCACACATCCTCTCGGATGTGGCACGATTGTCGCCAGTTCAAAGCTGTGAAGTCAATATAATTACTGATTTATGGTGTTTGGCTACCGTCCACACAAATGACAAAAAAGTAGTAAACAAAAATCCTATAGTAGTACTCTCGGCAGAACTGGGACATACTAGAAAGCTAGATTTTCCCGTTTGAAAAATTAATCACATTCCTCTAACCGGAGTTCCTTTAACAAAGCGAACAGCACGAATAATCAAGGCTTTAACCTGTTGGACCAATTGCTTAAGAGAGAATTTGTCGGTATTCAACGTTGTTCGAGCCTTGGTGCAAAATCAATGTCCTGTGATTACGCCGCACAGTGTACGATTGGTCCATATACGTATGTAGCTGCTTGTTTTTCTGCAATTCGAAAACTATTGAGCATGGATTAGTGAAATTTTGGACAAAAAAATGGCACGGTCACGCTCACCCCTCATATAACGGAGATATTTAACGAGCTACAAAAAATTTATATTCGGAATAGGCTCAAAAAACTTCGCCTTCGCTTTTTATTAGGGATGCAAGTCAAAAAAATACATCGATGTTTTTTTCCATTTGATGCATGGAAACATAGCATCGAATCATATCGATATATCGTATAAAAGCATCGATATTTGCGATGCATCGAATGAAAATATCAACAGGTTCTTTCAATTAAAAATATACAACAAGAAAGTGAGACAATCGGAGCGTCGATAAAAGTTTAAGTATTAACTAACGGTGAAATGTATTTATTGATTTAAATAGTTCCAATTCCAGTTTTTTTTTGTCGTTTGAGAAGCTTTCGAAAAAAGTTTTCGGAAGGTGCTGAAGTGGCGACAATAAGCCTAGTAAAATAATATAAAGTGTGCCAGCTAGCAAAGAGATTCCATTTCGGTACACTTTGGTAATTTATTATCATAATTTTTTCTTTCATGTGACACCGTTTTGAGTGATAACTTATGAAGTTTTTTGATTTGATAAAAAAATTAAAAAAAAAACATGTAAAGAAATTCTTGCCGCTTGTGCAAATTTTTCACTGCAAAAGCACACATAACGTTGCAGTACTGATGTTTTCATACCCTCAGGATGAGGACTTAAGCCGAAATCGGGCAGAGGTGTGCAACAAAACCAAAGGTCAATGCCAGAATTGAAAAAAGCGAAAACAACAATCTCAAATATTTCTTTGATGTAAGAGTACATCACTTTATATTATTGCACTATGTTTATAAGCTATGTGAAACAATTTTGGAAATTGCTGTTTAAATTCTGCCAAATTTCTAAAGGGTTTTAGTGTGTCAATATCAAATCCATTAATATCATTTTGAAGATGGTTGTTTGGCACTAAAAGTTTCTACTATTAAATTAGCAATTTATTAATGCAAATAACTCATGCATTTTGCATATTATTCATATAGTGTATATTCTAATTGTGCATAAATAATGAAATTTCCACATTTAGAAAAGTTACTAGAGCAAAGAGTTTGGAAGCATACATAATAATTTTAATATGTACAGTGTACAATGCACACAAAAGTCGATGCATCGAAAAAAAGTACATCGATATATATCGGAAGGTCCAAAACATCGGTTTTATTCGATGCATCGAATAGCAAACATCGATGTTTCCGATGCATGAAGTTGTGATGGTGTGTGAAGTTTAAGAGTAGTGGTAAATAAACTGAGATACAAGCTTTATCGAACAACGTGAATGCGGGCGAATTTTCTAAAATTAAATTTAAGTTAATATCGCTTTACTTAAACATGAAAAATATGAAATTATTAGTCAAAGTTTACAAAGATCCTAAAATTTTATATTCATTAATAAGAACACATCGACACCTGAGTGTAAGATCGACCTATCTCGGCAGCCAGTTCGAAAACGCACCATCTCAGAAAGCTTTTCAAGTACGCCCTATTTCAGAATTTAACACGCCCTATTTCAGCACATTTTCAATATATTTTGATTTAAGATAGCGCGTTTTCGAACCGATTTCTGAGATGGGGCGTTCTTCAATCAAATTTTGAGAGTTTTTCAAAGAAATTCTGAAATAGGGCGTTCTTCAAACAAAGTCTGAAGCAGAGCGTTCTTGAAAAGTTGTCTGAGATAGGTCGATCTTCTATTCAGGTGTCGAACATTCTAACAATTTTTGCAGAAATTACAAAACACCAGCAATTTAATTGAAATTTACACCTCTATTCTAACAGAGTCAAAAAACTTAGCTCATCACTGTTGTGATTTCAAGTGCGCCGAGAAATGTGTCACAAAAAGTTCGATTTTGAGTGCTAGAAAAATACACAAAAATACAAAAAATTGCAGCGGCAAGCTTTGAGGCGCGGTATAAATCACAGCAGTGATGAGCTAAAGTTTGTGACTTTGTTAGAATAAGGCTGTTAGTCTTAAATATTAACGCGCTTGATATTTTTCCAAATGAAATTTCATGCCGCCATACACTTTAATTCAAATTTTCTAGTTGGTAAGATTTATTCATCGTTCTAGTTCAGAGCTTTTTTCCATGTGGCTGCTGTTGTGTTTCTCTCTCTGGGAGAGCAACCGAGAAATGTTCTGAACGCTTTTCAGTTGTTAACTGAACTTCAACTTTAGGTCAGAACCAGAACGATGAATCCGCCATTATTGCTTCGACTTTGCCAAGCATTTCTAAAAAAAAATTTTGACGTTGTTTCGAAATTTAATATTTCTAGAACATGGAAATAAAACATTGTGCGCCGCTAAGAATTCTTCGTCAGGTGAAGTAAGTATTTAAACCCTTCATAAATGTATCCTTCATATAGCTGTAAAGATAGTCGCACGTGAAAGTCATGATTTGAATCTATTTAAGAAATACTACTTGTATTTAATTTAAATAAACTTCAGGCCAAACTTTATAATAATAATTTGTAACAACACTTTTTGAAACCATCGTAGAATATGTATAATTATTAAATAGAATAAACCTTTGACACGTATAGTTAAAAATAAGCCCATAAACATCACGATTAGATGTTGAATTGCAGCCAATTTGCAGGGTTTGTTACAGTTATCTGCTCCACATCCTCAACAGAAACACCTTTTGCGAACAGACGTGGCAAAACATTCATATACACATGATGGTAGCCATGACCGCCATACGAAGTCTAAAACAAAAGTTTAATTATCATCTCATTAAAAGCTCATTCATAAATTTCTTACCAATCGGTGTCTGGTATGTATATCATGAGACAATAATATTCTGTTCGCTAAACCTTCCTCTAACAATTTCAAAACATTAGAAATACGCTGACCATCCGATGGCATATCAACGACAGGATTAAGTTGATAGAATGAACACTCGGTACCAAAGAGATCGTATTGAATATAGCTGCCTAATTTAGAGAACTCAAGCAATTGATCGACATCGAGAAGGGTGCCTAAATATTAACAATAATGTTGTGTTTTAAAATTATTATCCTCATTCTGTTCATTTCTAACTCACGATCCACATGCGACATAATGGCTTTGTCAGCGCGTCCACCAGCTTCCAAGTACAGACGCATTATCTCGAATGGCGCCTCTACATCACGTCCTGGATGAAATGAAACACCGCAACCGAGTACTTCTTGTATTTCACCGGTTGCGCGTATTGCATGCTTTTCAAAATCTTAAAGTGTAAACACTGCGAAATATACAAATTTGTTGTCTCATTAAACCCACCGCGCACTCACCATGTAGCGGATAGACACTACCCACTTCACCAATGTAACCACATTTCACCATGCCGATACCTTCCACTTCAACACCAGTGATGATTTCTCTTGAATACAAATCGGTCATTTGCTCAACGGACATACTCAAATGGTCCTTCTCCTGCAAATTGTGTACATAATGGCCAGTGCCAGCGATTATGTGCACTCCAGTGCTTTTTGCCACATCGACAAAATGTTCTAAATTGCGTTTTAGTCCATGTGAACTATTTTCCACTATTGAACCGCCACCTAATTTCTTATATAGCGCCACATCTTTCTTGACCGCTTCGCTAACCTCTTCGCCATAGAAGTGAACATTTTCATGCGACGAGTAGGGATATTGACGTACGTAGCCGATCGTTTCAAGGCTAATTTTTTTGTTTAAATACGATTTGAATTCCTCAGGTGGTTCACAGTAGAATCCCTCGAAATCCAATGCCAGATGCTCGTGGGTGAGAGTACGGCCCAACAGGTTTGGTTCAATGGCACCGAGTACTAAAAGAAAATAAGAAGGAAAGTAATTTTTAAACAAAATTCTCTATTTGAAAAACATTGACGCTAAGTTTATTTCCGCCAAGCCTTAACTGCAGTTTATGTCTATTGAAAAAAGGAGATTAGAACTCGAAGGTGGTAATTGCTCATACTAAGTAAGTAGATACAAGCAATCGAAAGCAAAAAGTAAGAAATAAACTTTAGTGAGCACCGCATTTTAATGATATTTGCATCTTAATTCAACTTTGAATGATGTTCGTGTATCCTACCTTTCTTTTTCATCCTTTGAATGAGTTTATTATCAAAGAAATAAAAAGGGTGAGAAAATAGCTTTCCAATGATACCTTACAAGCCTAAACGGAAGAGTTTAGGTTCAGTTATTCAAGTTGTTCTTATACCAATCTCTAAAAAAAAGCTAAAAAAAAACTGCATCAAAAATCTCATTATTACGATTCCGTTGAATTTTTTTTAAATATTTTTATGTAAATTTTTAAGCTTAAACCGTTTTGTCATTTGAGGGCATTTTTTGAAAAAACATCTTTACGAAACTCTTTTTATTCATAAAAAACTAAATTTTTTAAGTATTTTCAAATCGATCCAACTCGCTTAATTCTTAATATTTTTCCGTAATATTTTTGTTGGACGTCTTAAAATATAACAGATTTTATAATTCCAATGGAAAGACAGTACCGATTTTTTTTGCATGGTAAGTGATGCAGTCTAATGTATATACATAAATAACTGACTCACGAAAAATAAAGTTTCAGATCTTAAGCGTTTGTAGGAAGAATATGTAAGGAAGAAGATGTTAACGAGCTTTAACCAGCCATAAGTTTAATAGCTATTATCTCCTATGGGATGTGATAAGATTTTTACCCTACATTAGACTTAAGTAATAAAATAACTAAATTTTTGGCACTGCCCACTTTGAAAGTTATTAACCGACCGTCTTTTGTTTTATGCCAACCCCAGACGTCATATGGTTTTTATGGGAAAGTTTTTATGACATCGCCTTTCGAAAGGCAAACGCTGTTAAGAAAACGTTCAAAGTTTCGTTTCTTAAAAATAGCATTGGTAGAGTTATAGGTTAACCTAGTGGATCTTAACTCAGATGTTTAATACAGTTCAAATCATCTGTATTTTTGGTATACGTTTTACTTTTGTGCACTTTTTCTGAGTCGAGCACAGGGAAACAATGTTATACTAGAAATTCACTTCCAAATTCCACAGTTAAAATAAAATAGTTTATTTTTTTTTTTAATTATACGCACTCAAAATGCAATAAATAACCATTGAAAAACTATACTAACTAAAAAATTGATTTCGAAATAATGGACGCAACGTTTTTTCAATTTGCAACAGATCATGTGACCATATGTTTTTCACGCAATGTCGTTCACTAAAGTTTTATTTTTATTGCCATTAGTTTATAAAACAACAGCAAAATGTATCGACATTGTAATGTATATAAAATGTGTTTTGCTCACCAGTTTGAACAATTGGCATCTTCACTTTTCGTCTTTTTCTGTATAAAAAATATTAACTACTTAAATAAGAACAACCTAATTAATGTACAAGCTTTTGTTATGATTAAGCAGTGATCGCTGTGAACGCTCCAATAATACTGTGAAGCCTTAAAAACTCTCGTTACAATATTGCTTCAAAAACACACAAACAAAAGCGAACGAGCTGCTGAACGAAGTAGAATCCAAAACAAATACATATGTATGTTCATAAAAAAAACATGAAAACACTGTATAAGATTAACGAAGAAATATGCAAATAAAATACAAATACAAGAAAACATTTTGAACATCTTATGCATAGATAGCGACTTGCATTAATTTGATATATGTATGTGTGTATGTGCGTACGAATGTGTGTTTTTGATAAGAATCCAATATAAAAGGCTAACGATACCCTGCAGGAATTTTGGAAAATCTTTTGAAAATGCAATTAATCAATTAAATTATTGATTTTCGTATACACGCAAATACATCTCGGTCATTTGCTGGAAAAACACATAACTCAAAAAACCGCGGCAGGAATGGCTTTTAAAAGCCATTTTGATTGATATCCATAGAGTAATAATTCATTTACCTATTGCATACATTGAAATAGGATAGCCTTTGTAATCAAGTCTGACACTCATGTCGGGATACATTTTTCAATTTTCTTAAATTAAGTTGAACTTGATTATATACACGGGTGGCAACGCTCCTACATGCAGTTTAGAAATAAAGTTCTTTCAAGGCTATTTTGATTGATATCCATATTGTAGTAATTCCGTTAAGCTATCGTGTAGATCAAAATTAAGTTTGGAAACAGGTGGCCACCCTGCTCAAAATATTTTCAAACTAAAACCTTTCCTATCTAGCCCCCGTATTTTGATATATACCTAAAGTAACTAATTCCATTAATTCAAGTTCAATTTAATTTTTAAATCAGGTGGCAATGCTCATACATGTATTTTGGAAATAAAGTTTCTTCAAAGCAATTTTGATTGATACTCATATTGAAGTAATTTATTTGACCTATGCTATGAACTTTAGTAACTCCTGGTAGCGCAGAGAGAGCCGATCAGTCCTGTAGTCGCTCCGCCGTCCTGCAGGGTGCAATCAACCTACATACATATGTATGTATGTACGTACATAAGTTGCGTTTAGGTTATAAATATTTGTCCGAAGTTGCGCCATCTGTTACTCAAACGTCGAAATACACATACAAAATTTGTGTCCCCTTTTCACACTTCCAGCAAGTGTTGGCAAAATGATGCCGAAGTGATTTTGTATGAAAAATAATTTATGCCCATATATTTGAATCAAATAAACATACTTACAAGGTATAAACCAATACTTCCTATTTACCAAACGAAATGAAAAATCTTGAATATTTACTAAAGAAAACATAAATAAAAACATTCAAGTGGTTTTCGAGCATTTTGGTAATAAAAATATCTAATTTTTCAACAATTTTTTGCCTTAAAATGCTCATTTTTTGTCGAATTTTTATACTCCGAAAATGAAGGTTATGTGTATCTGCGAAAGTTTCTAGAGCACTTTAGAGGCTCAAATTTGTACTTAAAGTAAGCCAAAATTTAAGTTTTTTCTACCACATAAACCGAACTGATCACCTACAAAAATGAATTTGTCGGTGGATTTGGAATTTTATCATCAAGCCTTAATTTAGTTCCCCGCTACTTATACTAGTTGAAAACAGCTTTTTGATCGTACATACATACATATATAGCGTAACTTCTACCTAACATATTAAATTTATATACGCCAGGTGAGAGGCGTGATGCCCAACGGTTTTACATGTATGCAAATATACATACCCTGCAGTGCGGGGGAGCGACTGATGAATCGGTAGCTACCTGGTAAACTCCGTCAATTACCGACCGACTACTTGCAGTGTATTTCAGCGATTACTTTTACAAGACAATGTCCTAGGCGGTAGTGACCATCGGCTCTCTCTGCACTACCGGGAGTTACTAAAGTAGTCACTTCGACTCTGCACTACCTTGTTCATTACCACGGGCTAATAGAGTAACTACTTACCTAGGAGGCGGTGGAGTAGTGGTTCAAATGTAGCGATTGACTCCAGCAGTACTGGAGGATACTAAATACAACAATACATACGCACGATCCTGATACTCGACTTTAATGTGTGGCGTGTGTGTTTAAAGGGGTTGGTGTGTAGGGTGGGTTTAAATGACTCACAGGGGTGAGGCCACGCAGGTGCAGTTTACGACGAACTGCGCTAAGACAGGAACGTACGATAGAGCTTAGTGCTCAAAACCGCCTCCCTACGAAATAGTAGTACCCGGGGGTGTACATTACAGCGGGAAGGCAAGGAGTTTAAGTTCGGATAGACGTTCCACTCTAGGGGGGTTTTTCCAATCTGGCGCCACGAAAAAAACGAATTTATATCAGCGATAAATGAGTGTATTTCCCTTTTGAGCACTTTTCCATGCACAACAGCGACTGTGAAGTGACCGGTTAGTACACTTCGTAGAGTAGGCTTTCTGGACTATGCCTCATGAGCGTCCATAGAAAACTCGTAACCGAAAACCGCGAGATGATTCAGGAGGAAATAATAGGAAAATTTGCCGAAAACCGAGACGTTTGTTATTAACGCAAAAATGATTAAATAAAAAATATATCAAAAAATTAACAAGTATATTTCGTTTCGTTCCCCCTTACACCAGTTTCTGGCTACGCCCTTATATGTACACATTCGAAAAATAGAGCATAATAATGACATTGGTGTAGTAACGGAAATGACAGTGATAAGTAAATATGCAAAATGTAAACAACAGCTTTTAAAATCCAATAAAGATATATGTACATATTTAAATTTAAGGACCTCCCATTTCGTATGTAGCTGTCTTTAATTCCAAAGTTTAGTCGCAAAAGTCTTGACCATTTCAAAAAGCCTGTAGCAAATTCCTTCACTGCACGGGGATATCCCTTCCTTTTCTATTGAAAATATTTATAAATCATATGAGTATTAACTATGCTGTGGCTGAGTGGTTAGACGCGGAGCAACCTCTAAACTAGAAATAGTTTTTTCCTTCGCCAGGCAATTCATTTGATGTATGAATTTAAGCTCATATAAGTCGACCTTCGGAGAAAGGGAAACACCCTCATATCGGACTCTTAAATGAGCTCATTATGAGCGTAATGGCTCCGAAATAGGACTCCTTAAAGACTCATTTACGACTCCAAATGTTTGCTGGGAAACTTTTTTTCTAATTTCTACATTGGTTTTTCTCTGTATAAGAACATTCGAAATTCGTTTCAATACATACTACTATTTACTATGTGTACATGTTAATAACATCATTGATGTGCAACGAATGCATATTTGCACACAAAAATTAATAGTACTTGTCTATTTATTGCATATTTGCCGCTGCTACTTCTTGCTCCTTTACCCCCTGACCAAGAGTTTGTTATTAACACATACAAGTAAGAGTTCTATAATCAATATAAGAAAAA